CGAGAGACTCGGGGAAGTCGCTCCGGCTCGGGGAGCGCAGCTCGCTCCGTGTGCCACTGGCTTCTCCTCCCCTCGGGAAAAACTTCCTCCCTTTTGCCCAACTTTCCCCTTCTTGCTGCCGTTACCGTGAATCAGGCGTGGCTGAGCCCATCTGGTTTAGAGAAGAAAATGCCTCAGGTGAAGGCAGTTCAATGTTTGAGGGCATGTGGCTTTCCCCCTCATTCTATTCACTGGCAAAGGTAACCCGAGTATTTAAATGCTATTTATCTTGGGGTTGTAATGGACCATAATTTCCCTGTTAGAAATTTATGAACATGATCCCCGTTATCTGGACTGTCTATCACGGAGCATTGTGGTCTGGCAGTGCTGAACTGATTTATGGTGGGCAGAGGAGACTTGCCACTAGTTACTTCACTTTCAATCCCAGGGTTTTCTGAAATTATTCAGTAAATATTTCTGTGCTGAATGATTGCCCCTACATGGAGAACTATTACCCACACTGATGCCCTTTTCTGTAACTAAACCAGTTCTCTGGGAGAAGTTACACTTAGTTCCAGGGTTATCTTTTTCCCAACTCTGGTGTTTAGGTTTGGGACTTTTTACAGGCAAGGGGGATGGGGAGAGCTCCATCACTCATAGGAAATGCTTGAAGATCCCACAGTTGGTTTGCTGGATTTGTTTAAACAGTAGTTCATAAAGTTCAGCAAGATTCAACACAGCTTACAGGGCTGGTGGAGGACACCCCTGAATGATCAATTCTGACATCTGGGGAAGGTTTTACACTGGGATTTTATTAAGGGCCTGGCTGGGGTGCAAAACATGGTACTGCATTAAAATTATGACAACCATGAAGCCTCAACAGTGCAAAAATGTGTTTGTCTGCAGTGCCCTGTGAGCAGCTCTGGGACTGTGAGCTGGGCTGGAGGCAGAGCTGGAGGCACAGGGAGACAATTCCTCATGTTGCTGTCAGAGTTACGCTGAGGGTGCTGCTGGCACCACCGCAGCACGTCCATTCGCCTGGAAACTTGGTTGCATTGATGTGCCTTGATAAAAGGGAAATGTTAAAAAATATTTTTGTGAAAACCCTGAATACCAGGCCAGAGGGGTGCCTGTGAGGCGTAATCACAGACTGTAGTTAAGGTCTTTTCTGCAGGCAGGAATTAGCCTGCCGGTTGTGGCAGTGGTTCTGTTCCAATTAGTCCAATAAATGTGCTTAGCAATGGGAATGGTTTCTGTGGCACTGCCTAAGATCATGTGCAACCTCTTGCTGAGATTTAGTTAAGTGTGGAAAGCTTGTTTTGTACTGGGAACGCTCAGATGGAGTTTGTACAGGGGAAAATAAAGCAAAACCACATAATTGGGTTTCTAATGCAAGAGTGAGCTTGTTGAAACGTTTAGCATGACCAAACTTTTGTCAATGCTAAAGCAAAATTTGAATCAAATAGCAAATTCAAGGAATGCGTGGTAGTGATTGTGCTATCTATTAATGGGCATTGTAAATGAACCTATTAATTTATAGTAAAGTTTCAGAAAGTGTCTGTTTCTTGACCAAACTGTTACATAAGACCACTCGCTCATCAGGCAACTCCTCTCCTTTCTGTGCTTGAAAGTTTCTGGAGAGTGCGAGAATATTTCCATCTTCACAAACATCAGCTGCTGCCTGGGGTCAGTTTTGTTGTTGAATTCTGTGTTGGTCTTCCTTTGAAGTTTACCACAATATTTCAGAAGTGAAACCAAAGCTCCATATGCTCTCTGTGCATGACCTGGCATCCTTTGTTTGCTGCCACTACCCAAAAAGCATTACCCCATATACCAACTGAGGGGTTTGCTGGTGTAATTTATAGCAGAGCTGTGTACAAAGAGCAGCAAGTATAACACCAGCACACTGACTCTGTTCCTTTCAGTGTTGTTTCAATGTTTGGCAAGTCAAAGAGGATAGGAAATAATAAAAGAAGGACGAGTTTGTAGTTAAGATAATGAAAGCCAATTTGGACAACTAGGATTTAGTTTCTGGCCCTGTGACAGACATCCATCTAAGCTCAGAGAAATTGCTGATTTGACTATGGTAGGACCTTGCTCTTCCCCTGGCTGTCCCATTAGCAGGATGTGCTGCAGGCTCCTGCTTTGATGCCCTCTGAAACTTTGCCAACAGCATGGTCTGGATGTGGCAGCATCTCCACTTGCTCTGTGTCAAAAGCCCCAACTCGAATCATGTAGTTTTCACACTGGAGGGAAAATATTAACAGGAGGATTATAGAAGCATCCAGTTGTTGTAAACAAAGCTGGACCGTTTTGTTCACAAAGGATTTATTGTCCGCAGTGTCCAGATTAATCAGTTTCATGACAAGAACAATTCAGTGGGAAAACAGAGGACTTGCTCCAGGATTCAGATCTCCTCTGCTGTTCCCAGTGATGCCTGCTAAACTAAAAGGATGGAAGAGCTTATTTGCATTTCCTCAAGCATCTTCATTATCCAAATTAATTTAAAAATAGACAGATAACATTTGGGCAACTCTGTAAAATTTAGACTGCAGGTGACTGTCAGAAAAGTCTCTTCAGATACTTTTTTTGGCCACATTTTCTTGAAGAAAGTATATATTTTGCAGAAGACAACAGGGTTGTTCTGGTATTTATGCTTCCCTTAGGACTACTTCTCTGTCAGGTGCTATGACACCATGTTGGTACTTTCAGGACCTCTTGACATCACATCCAAGCAGCTAGAGAGGAATGCATAGGATTTCAACAACAGATAAAACTATTTAATCTAAAGAATACAAGGAAAACAACCTAATTCACAGGTAGCCTAATTCCTGAATAGTCCACAGCGTTCAAATATTTGAACAGAGACTGGGTCATTGGCTGTATTAAAATCTTAGTCTTAACACCCCAAATTCAATGAGTACTCTGAATTTTGTCTCTTTGAAATGTAGGGACTCCAGCTATCAGATTATTGGTTGTGGCTTTGTAAAGAATACAAGGAAAACAACCTAATTCACAGGTAGCCTAATTCCTGAATAGTCCACAGCGTTCAAATATTTGAACAGAGACTGGGTCATTGGCTGTATTAAAATCTTAGTCTTAACACCCCAAATTCAATGAGTACTCTGAATTTTGTCTCTTTGAAATGTAGGGACTCCAGCTATCAGATTATTGGTTGTGGCTTTGCAAATACTTTAGACAAGGCATTGTCCTGGAGGACTGAGTGAGTGAGGATTGTGGGTGAAGATGAGCTGTTCCCACCCTTGCTGGGCTTCCCCAGCCACGAAGTGCTGTGTCTGAGTCGATGTAACATACCTGTCATCAGGGCTCATTAACTTGGGCTTGGCAGTGTCCCATGTGCAGGCACGAACAGACTGGTTGGCTTGGGGAGCAGGCAGAGTGTGCTCACATCTGCCTGCAATATGCCACGTAGACACACTGCTTTAGTTCTGTGAATTTTTATGTGTTCTAGTTGTCCCATCGAAGAGTTTTTCATCTTGGAGATGGCAACACTGGGTTTTGAGTAGACCTGGGGGTGGATGAGCACTCCAATCTTGACTGTCCTTTACTCCTCATCCCTCTCCTACAGAAACCTGTAATATGCCACAGGACGTGAATTTTAAGTACAAAATCAGCCAAATCAAGTCACATCTGAAAGTGGGACTTGGAATGGCAGTTTAGAATGAATCCTGCCAATGGCAGGACTTTGGGATGTGCAGTAGGAATCTCTGCCTGCTCCACGCAAGGGCTGTGTGCTGGCCACTTGCTAAGAAACATTTAGTATTTATGTGCTGTTATAGCATGGGGTATTATCCAAAGAGGCTGAAACTCAACAGGATGAAACCATTACCTCTCCCTAGAAGGAGGTGTGTTGGATGGCTTGGCTATTGGCATGTGTGCACAGGCCACATTTAGATATAATGTATTCTCTAAATGGCTGTTTTTATTCCTCCTCCAAACAGAAACTGGGTGAAGGACTAGCAAAGCTGCGGACGGTGAGAGAGGCTCCATCAGACTGCATGTGCCCCCCAGGTAGGTGCAAATTTACCAGCACAGCCAGTACCAGACTGCCCAGGATCTGCCTGCTTACTGCATTGATGCCACTAAGCTCCTCCTCTCTTATTTTATATCTTCCTTTGTAGCAAGAAAAATGTGTTAACAAGTGTGGTTTTTTTCTCAAGCTGAACCACTCTGTTGTGTTTGAGACTATTAGCTTCTTCCATTGCCTTTTTACAGATAAAGGAGTTTGAGGTTTGGACAAAAGGAATGTTTGGCTATAACAATAAAAGAGCAAAGGGTTTGGCTGGGTTGTGAGCCCTGGGTGTTTGGCCTTTAGAAGTAGTAACAAAATCACTGGGACTTAATGCAAGTGTGATAATTAAAAGCTGCAGCCTCTCTGCCTTTTCGGAGGGCAGCGACTTCTTTTGCTGCAGGAAAGCTGTCACTGATTGTTTAAATTTCCTCCCAGAGTTTAATGAACTTCTAAAACTGTCAAAACTTCCTGTTCTGCTGTGGAAGTGCATGCTCTTTGGAAACAATAAACAGCTTAGATTAGTTTGTAAAGGAACCTCATTTACAGAAATGCTACACTGAATGGCACAAATGACTTTGAGCTGAGGCACTTCAAGCCTTCTCTTTTCTTTTTTCTTTTCACAGGAGTAGCAAAAGATGGGTGAAAGATGTGCAGTGCTTTGATGGGGGAGAATGCACAGGCATGTTACAAGGACTTGTAAGCAGCAGATAGTTCCATTCTAGTTTTAAAGAAAACAAGCAAGCTATAGATGCTACATGGAGACCCAGAATAGACAAAGGGATAAGCACAATTTTTTCTGTCTTCCTGGATATGAATCCTACCAGAACGCACAGTGCTAGTCCATACTCACAGGACACTAGAAATGGACTTTTTTTTTAACTAAAAGTTTATGCTTAATAACCTAGGAAATTGACTTTTTTTCCCCCCATAGATTATATTTAATAACCTTGAAAACACTTCATTGATGATGTTCTTAAATGTACTTGCTGCTTTTCCAGTGAAAGGCTCCAGGGATTCCCTGTGTGCCTCACTGCCTGCTAACAAGCCCCATCAGCTGAGACACAAATCCTGCTTATTTTCAGCTCTTTGGAAGGTGGTCAGTTTTCTCTCTTCTGACGCACAGACTCAACAAGTCCATCAACCTTACAGAGCTCTGGGGCTGTGTCTCTCTCTGGTCTAGGCAACCAGTGCACTACTGCTGTGCTTAAGTGGTCAAGAGGCTTTTCCTTTGCTCTGTGGAAAGCAATTGGGATTGAAGAGGCTTCTTTTGTCCAGGAAAGTCCCAGTTCTGTTCTGGGTCACTGGGTTTGGTGGTTGCTGTGTTTGGGAGATGGAGGGATGAGAAGAAGGGGGAAGGTTTTCCCACGTGCTGCTGAAATACTCGTTACAGTCATTAGTAACGAATGTCAAAGTAATTTGTGAGCTGAGGGAAGAAGTGATTTCCTGGTGGGTAGGAAATGTTGCAGTGGTGGCTGCTCCTGGCCACCACAGCAGGGAGCTGAGGGCTGTGCTGTGGTGAGGATGTGCTGCTGCACTGTCTTGAAGCTTCTCAGCTATTTTGGAACAAATCAAAGAAATCTTTACATGTGTTTTACTTTTTTCCCCCTCTTTCTCCTGAGGAAAGCTGAATTGCCTTCTGGTGTGTAGTTGAAGAGCTTGGCCTGAAACATCCTGAGACTTTGTGGTCCTCACTGACATTCATTCCTGAGCTTTGCCAGGCAGAAAACTAACAGCTAAGCTTCAATTTGCCTCGGTGCACTGAAAAAGCAGTCCCTGGGGAAAACAAAATTCCCCTGTGGAGGGGATGGAGAGATGGGGAGATAATGTCAACCCTGCTCTTGCTCCCTGGAAGCTTGTGGATATCCCAAACACCTGAGCTTGGGGGACTTTCCTCTGCCAGAAACCCTGCTAAGCTGAGGAATTCCTTATTACCACTGGATTTAAAGCAAGCTGGAGAGAGTGCTGTCTGCATTGTCCCTCCCACAGTGTCTCTTTGGGAAAAGGAGGACTCACCGCCCCACAGACTCACTCGTGGGCAGTGTCAGGAGCAAACTTCACACTCAGAGCTGGCCCTGCCAGCTGGGCTTGTTTTAAACAAGACCTGGTTTTCCCTAGAATTGAGTCAATTTGGGACTTTGTTTGGATTTGAGGGGGTGGGGGTTGTTTTCCGAGCTCTGCTTTGATAAAATTGACTTGCCACACATTCAAAGCAGTTTGGGACAAGATGACTATGATCCACTTAAATGAGGGTCAAGTTATTTTGACTACAGCAAAGTCCTGAATGACTACTTGTAAAACACACAAACAAAACAAATGTGCATCCCCACGCCAAAAACAAAAAAAAAAGGAAAACCAACCAAACTGACCCATTTTGTGCTTTGTGCTCTGTGCTCTGCAGTAAGTCATTTATTTGGCTATAGGGCTCTAAAATGGGACTCTCGGGGTTTTTGGGGCAGGCAGGGCTGCAGAGCTGGCCAGGGCTGGTGGCCACAGAGGCTGGTGGCCGGCAGAGGGGGCCCGGCTGTTTCTCCAGGGCCACAGAGACATCCTGATCGTCAGGAAAAAACACAGGATCATAGGACGGTTCAGGTTGGAAGGGATCTTTTTAAGTCATCTAGTCCAACTGCCCTGCAGTAAGTAGAGACATCTCCAACTAGATCACATTGCTCACAGCCTCATCCAATCAGACCTTGAAAGTAATAACAATTTGAAAACATAAAATAATAATGAAACAAAGTTTTATAAAAAGCTGAAAAAAATGACTGTTCTGTTCCTAAATGCTGGGCATGCTGCAAAAAGTGACCTATCTGTAGTTGCTCTCAGCATCTGTGTGCTGCTTTGTGTTGACTTGTTTTGCTTTATTCATTCCACAGAAGTGATGGGGGGATGATGACAACAACTTGGTGTCACTGTGGATCCTTTGTGGTTTGGACATTTCTGTGGCTGAGGGAGAGGAGAGCATCCCTGGGGGGTTAGGGCAGCTGGACCAGGTGTGAGTCAGGCTCTGGAATGCTGTGACAGGCTGGTGACCCCACTCTGGGGATGAACGTGGCCTTTCCATCCCCTCAGCTATTTGGGGTGGGACAGCAGTGGTTGCACGCTGCGGGCGCTGGCAGGGCCAGGACAGGCTGTCCCCATATGTTGTCTCACTGGGAAACAGCAGCTCAATATTTATATTATTGTCATTCCCTAAGCCAGGCCTGTAGTATTTTGCAGAGAGGCCCCTCATCCCCTTGTGTCCAGCCTCTTGCTCTGGTGGGATCCTCACATAGCCTTTGCTGCAGGATGAAATGCAGCAGGTGCAGGAACAGTTGGGTCTATGGCATTTAGGACAGGCTTCAGCTGATGAGCACTTGGAGGTGGGTTGAAAGCAAGATAAAACTTCATGCTTATAAACACTTTATCAGTTGTGTGGCCTCTGACTGCCTTTTCATGTAGGTTTTTTTTTTTAAAGGATTATATTTTATTTTTCCCGTCTTGTATTTTTAACAGTCTTTTCACCTGAGGTGCGAAAGGCTCTTGTTAAACAAAGTATTTACAATGCCAAGAGTCTTTAGGCTCTGTGAGAAGCTCAAGGTGCTGGATGCACCATGCTAGAGCCTGAGAGCAAATGTTTCCTCTTAAATCCAGCAAAAAGAGGCTTAAAACCAGCCCAAGTCCACAGAGCATAGTCGTCGCTGTGTTGCAGGCTGAGCTCTGTTGGCTGCTCTCACATTGCCTATTTCAATGTACATGTTGTGTTTCCACGTGCCTTTTTATTTAATAGTACCTCTGGAGCCTTAACTCCAAATTTCCTGGCTACTG